CAACTGTGAGAGAGTGTCCAGGGGATTCAAGAATTTGTCGGAATCATTTCTTGCAACATTCGTTGTTGAGGTCCACCATTTCGTTGGCGTGGACATCATGACAAACCTATCTTTTGACAAGCAAGTGCTTTTTCAAGTTAGCAATTGATGAAGAAAAGCTGGGTCTGGCCAGCCTTCTGTGCATTTGGCAGGCTGGAATGGCAAGTTCGCCAATGTTGATGCCAGCCACATGCTGAGCTGCCTGGGGGTGGTTGCAATTCAGTTATATCGTGTGTGCATTTTTCGATTGGCAGACATGTCCTTTATAATTGCATTGCCTTTTGTTCCGGTTTTGGAGGTTCTGTTTCGGCCACTTGAGAGCTCAAAACCCTGAGGCACGCCGAGTCCATAGTCCTCCAGCAACCTTTCGCCAGGCTGGTTACATCGTGTTTGGGATTTTGATGCACATCCTTACTGATCATACTGTATACTGGTCATCATTTGCCATTTTGACTGCATTTCCATGTTTGCATCGTCTGAACATGAGTAAGAGAGAGAGAGAGAAATAGACACAGAAATGAGTCCCAGAAGGTCTATTGTACCGAAGCAGTCATGCTAAATGAAAGGCCTCCAACACTCTTGGACTCAACAACGGGGTCCACCGGGGTCCAAGGACACCGTTGTTAGTTTTCTTTCTTGAAGAAAAGCAATCTGCAATTGAGTGCGCTGACATGCATGCTGAGCTTGCCGAATGTAGACAACACCATTTTACTTCCGCGATAATAATTGACAACGGTGACGTCTCATGGTATGCAGTGATTAATGATTGACATGCGGGCAGAAGCACATCTTCCTGGTGAAACCCTGCACTTCCGAGGCTGCTCCTGTTACTGCTCTCCCTTTGGTGCCACAGCCTTCGTCGCTTCCAGCTGCGTCTTGATTGGAGCAGTTCTTGATCTATAGCAATTGCAAGGGAGAGCACCGGGATCCAGGTTGATTGATTTGGACTTTCTTAGTTTCTCAATTTATGGGCATATTGTTTGTCCTTCTCAACAATTCGTGAGAGTGCATCAGTCATGGATGTATATTTTGAAGGCTCCATTTTTAATCCTCCCAAAACTAGAATCTGCAATTTATGTAGCCATGCATAGCTATGCTTATTTTATAGTGTTGTTCATTATGGCCCTTGTTCCTGAAGGGACCCTGGCTCATGGAGCCGGTGACAGCACGGCAAAGTGCCTGGTGCTCAGATCCAAGCATATAAGTACTAGGTTGGAGGGCATTGCTAGTAGGTTGGAGGCCATCGCTATTAGGTTCGAGGCCAACGCTAGTCGGTTGGAGGCCATCGCTCTTAGGTTGGAGGCCATTGCTAGTAGGTTGGAGGCGATCGCTCTTAGGTTGGAGGCCATCCCCATTGGTAGGAGGCAATCGCTCCTAGGTTGAAGGCCATCGCTCTTAGGTTGGAGGCCATCCCTATTGGGTTGGAGGCAATCATTATTGGGTTGGAGGCCATCCCTATTAGGTTGGAGCCCATCACTAGTAGGTTGGAAGCCATCGCTCTCAGGTTGGAGGCCATCCCTTCTAGCTTGGAGGCCATCGCTGTTAGGTTGGAGGCCATCGCTCTTAGGTTGGAGGCCATCCCTATTAGGTTGGAGGCCATCGGTGCTAGGTTGGAGGCCATCGCTCTTAAATTGGAGGCCAACGCTATTTGGTTGGAGGCCATGACTATTTGGTTTGAGGCCATCTCTATTAGGTTGGAGGCCATGGCTAGTAGGTTGAGGCCATCGCTAAGTAGGTTGAGGCCATCGCTATAGGTTGGAGGCCATTGCTAGTAGGTTGGAGGCCGTCACTCTTAGGTTGGAGGTCATTGCTAGTAGGTTGGAGGCCATCGCTCTTAGGTTGGAGACCATCCCTATTAGGTTGGAGGCCATCCCTGCTAGGTTGGAGGCCATCGCTATTAGGTTGGAGGCCATCGCTAGTAGGTTGGAGGCCATTGCTATTATGTTAGAGGCAATCGCTCTTTGGGCGGAGGCCATCGCTCTTAGGTGGGAGGCCATGCCTATTAGGTTGGAGGCCATCGCTCCTAGGTTGGAAGCCATCGCTCTTAGGTAGGAGGCCATCCCTATTATATAGGTTGGAGGCCATCTCTCCTAGGTTGGAGGCCATCGCTCTTAGATTGGAGGCCATCGCTATTTGGTTGGAGGCCATCACTATTAGGTTTGAGGCCATCGCTATTAGGTTGGAGGGCCATCGCTAGTAGGTTTGAGGCCATCGCTAGTAGGTTGTCTATGGTCTGCGGGACCAGGCCGTTCAGTCACAGCCATCCTCTTTCACGGCGATGCCCGGACCACCCAGGCAAGTTTGTTCAAGTCGTGGGATTTGTCGCAAATTGCAATATTGCTCCTTTTCTGTATATCAATTACAAATCGTTTATTAAGAGGGGTCTCAACATTCAGCAAATGATAAGCCACCTCGTTTGCGAGTCATGTCTTAGCCTCTTTTCAGGCACATTCTGCCAGTGAACCAGTTTCGGAAACTTGGATGGAGTGAACACTTGTAGCGATTGCTTCTAGCTGCTTCCGAAGCAAAGACTTGGATACTAAATAGATGATCGAAGGGAATCCCAGCCAGTTGATCTGCTCTGAGTGAATATCGATATCCTTATTGTCAGCTGAGGACCGCTTCGCCGCGTCAGGTTGGGTATTACAGAAGTCCAAACTTAAGCGTTGGGCCGACCTGAACCTAGCCAACTGGTTGTGAAACTGAACACACACACAAAGTGAAGTGGTTGGAGACCATTGCTATTAGGTTGGAGGCCATCGCTATTCGGTTGGAGGCCATCGCTATTCGGT